AGTGACTGGGGCACTGTCAGCATTCAATAGATGTTTGATAGATAACTAATGGGTTAGCAGTGCAGATGCTCAAGGATGGAGGAAGAGGAGGAAGATCTCCCAAAGACCAAAGGAAAATCCACAGAGGGTATTTCTGATTTTCTCTCACTCTGACAATCAATACAGGTTCAGTTGCCAGAAGCTTCTCTTGTTTGGTCAAATACTTTGAGGATTCAAAGGAAACTTCCAAGAGTCTCCCTTGATGTAAGGCAGCTTGGGAGCTCTGTATAGGTGTAGGTCCAGGAAAATTTTTAACCCAGAACCGTTAAGGATTCTGGAGCTACTCCTTAATTTTTTCATTTTAAAGATGATCTTGGTAGAAATAAGACATGCTAAAATTTGTGAGCAGACACATGGATGAAGTGACCTCTTTCCAGATGAACTAGCATGCTTCTTTTAATTTCTAGTCACTTAGTCTATTCGTGTAATCTTTTCTTTCCTTTGGTTGCAAGGAAGCTCACAGCTAAGTATCATGGTTAAATTCAGTAGCTTTCCTTACCCTAGAATGTTTAGAGTAATTGCACCTCTCCCCTTCCTTATTAGGTTATGACTCTTTAACCTTTCTGTAATGATTTACTCTTCTCTTGGTGGTCTAATAGTTAAGATTCAGCGCTGTCACCACCACAGCCCAGGTTCATTTCCTGGTCAAGGAACCACACCACTCGTCTGTCTGCCAGTTGTCATACTGTGGCAAGTACTGTTGCTGTGATGCTGAAAGCTCTGCCACCAGGATTTCAAACACCAGCAGGGTCACCCATGGTGGACAGGTTTCAGCGGAGCTTCCAGACTCAGACAGACTAAGAAGAAGGACCTGGCCACCCACTTCCAAAAAGAGTGGCCATGAAAACCCTATGAATAGCAGCAAAGCATTGTCTGAAACGGTGCTGGAAGGTGAGAGGATGGCGCAGAAAGACCGGGCAGGGTTCTGCTCTGCTGTACGCAGGGGCGCTAGGAGTGGGAATCCATTCCACGGCACAAACAACAAACTCTTCTATTGCTCCTGTCTCTTTTCTTTTGAGAGTCTTACAAATAACTGAAATAGGTGATTTCAGGATTTTAGTCTCGACTTGAGAGCCTCTAATGGGAGCTGCATTATTAGGAATCTGGTCTTTTCTGTTTTACATCAAAATTACCTGGGAGAAATTTTTAAAATACAAGTTATTGAGCCCCATCTGTGAATTTGTAGACCCAGAATGTCTTTGCTGGGGCATCGGAAACCTCCTTTTTTAAGAGCTTCCCAGCTTCATTTAAATCTGGCAGGTCCAACACCTTCATTTATCCTCGCTCCCTCCTGATAGCCTCTTAAACCCACAGACTGCTGCTGGCTGATCCCATGCCCCATCCCTGGTGGGAGATAAGGTTACGGGGGAGGTGAAGAGAATTCTCAGGATGATGATGAAAGGAAGTGCCAGGGTAACAGCCCTGTGGCCGGCTTTGGGTGCAATCACTCAGATGGGTGGGAGAGAGGGGCCCTGGGGGGCACCAGGGGGAATGACTCTGATATAGAAATAAAACTGATCTTTTTCCTGATATGAATGACTAAATTACAAAGGCTTAAGCTTCCATTGGAAAGTTTAGGCCTTAATTATTTATAGGTAATAAACATCATAAAAATACCTAAATTTTATTAATCACTTATGATGTGCCAGTTATTGTTCTAAGTGCTTTTCATGTATTAAATCATTTATTCCTCACAACACTCCTCTTGGATAAGTGCTGTGGTTGTCGTCCCCATGTTAAAGATGAGATTTGTGAGGCATACGGGGGTTAGGTAACTGGCCCAATGCATCTGGCCTCATGGCTCATGAGAAAACAAAAAAGGTCATCACGATGCAACCACTCAAATAAAGCTTCAACCAAAAATCGTGGTATCACCCCCAGGAGAAGATGTGGGGTTGGGAGAGTGTTGTGTGGAGGGGGATGGGGGTGAGCGTGTGTGTGGATGTTGAGGGTGGGGGAGGGAGACAGGTGGAGGCAGGCGAGCTGTATCCTCACCTACCATAACACAATGGATGTAGATAATGTCCAAAATTGGGAAATGAAGAAATAGCCGTATATGCACACTTTAAGAATCTAGAAAGAAACTGCTAACAGAGCTGAAAGTGATTGCCTATGGGAAGTAGAAATCCAGACAGAGTGGGGATGGATCAAGGGTTGTGGTTTTTTAAATTATATGCCATGTAGTATTGTTTGACTTTTTAATTTACGAGCATGTTTTGCTTTGATGAACATGAAAATTTAATTAGAAAAGTCTCAGGTTATTCTGACATCCAGCCGGGTTTATCAACCACTGACACAAGCTGCACGCAGTTGGGAAATAAGCCACATGTCCCTCTGCAGGGGGGACGAACAGCAGTAGTCCTCAAAATTGTATACATAAAAGTCATTTGAGGACTCTGTTAAAATTCAGATTACTGGACCTCACCCCAGACTCACTGAATCACTATCTGTAAGTGTGGATCCAAATATTTGCGCTGTTAACAAGTCCTCCCTTTAATTCTGATGCAGGTGGTCTTTGCACTGTTTCGAGAAATATTAAATTATAGGAGAGTAGACCAGTTAGGAAACTATTCTACTTTTTTCTAATCAAGAAATAATAAACAAGCAATGATGAGGTGGAGGTGTCTTTGAAAACCAAATACTGGTTTTCACCAAAATATTGACATTATTTGTTAAAAGGATGTTGTGGATGCAACAAAAGATCAATGCAAGAATGGTCACTTCATTAAAAAGAAACAGGGGTGACAAGAAGTGACAATGCTGAATAAGAACCTAATAGCTAACACTTACGTCGCACTTACTCTGTGCCAGACACTGTTCTAAGTGCTTTGCATTCATTAAGACTTCAGAGCACCCTGAGGGGTGAGCACTAGGATTATCCCCATTTCAGAAATTGGGAAACTGAGGCACAGAGGAGGTTAAGGATCGGGTTTGAAATCACTAGCTAGCAAGTGGCAGAGCCAGGGTAGGAACCCAGTTGATCTAGCATCAGCTGTCATGGCATTTAACCATTATCCTCAAGAATTCTAAAAGCATCAAAGCTAATAGGTCGGTTCAGTTAGAGCTGGCCTTGAGTCCCAGCTCTGCTGGGTGAATGTGGGCAAGTTGTGTCACTGACCTCAGTTTCCTCATTTATAAAACAGGAATAAAAACACTTGCCTCATTGGGATATCATTGGCATTAAATAGGTGATCTATAGCACATAGTGGGTGCTCATTAACTTGTAACTATAATAATTATTATTATCTAGGGTTGGGAAGGAGGGCGATCAGAGAATGATGGGTACCTTGAGGCCCAATCAGGACAGGCAGGTTAAGTTCTTTCCCCAGCTGAAAGAGCAGAGCTGGAATTGAACAAGTTCATGCTGGAGCTGTGGAACTAGACTGGTGCTGTGCAGAGTATATGGCTTAAGTAGTGGAAGCTTTTACCCTTGTTCAGAGAGAGAGCACAAGTTAAGGAGGAAGAAAGATAGGCCAGAATCCTAGGACTTGTCCACATACAGACTATGGGAAGAGGAGCCAATCATAAAACAAAGAAGGAATGTGAGAGGAACCAGGAGGAGAGAGTCCCAGGTGGGAGGAAGTGGTGGAGGGGTCCAGGGCTCCCTAGCAGGTCCCTGATTCACTGGAAAAGAGACATTTCAGCAGAAGTCAAATGGCAAAGAGTTTAGTGATAAATGGAGGTAAGGGAGTAGAAACTGGAGAAGGCATGAGGAAAAACAGTGACAGCTTAAACGGGGAAGAAAATTGAAAGTAGGCCCTTTAAGATAAGGGGGACCTGGGTGATAGAAAGAAGTGGAGGGAGGCGGACAGTGAGAAGGTGCTGCTGTATCCTGTAACAGGGCCATGAGCTCCACTCCCTGACTTTTGGGAACTTGGATCTCTATTTTCTCTTGACCCCAGCTTATTGATGCCCCTAACTTAGGTAGCATGTCCCTCCCTAGAAGGGGAACAGGGCATTCTGGTACATACAGAACAGAATACTTCAGCATTTTTGATCCTATTTCACAGGTCAAGGGCTCCGGAGACGTTTCAATCTCTCCTTTTCCTGAGACCACTTTTATGTCACACTTTCCTTCAGAAAGGTTTCCCTTTTGGGTGTTCAACACCTAGAATGTGGCTTCAGTATTGAGCAAAAAGTCAACAGGCTCTCCTCTTCCTGCCAGGGTCGCCCAGGGCTCCTAGAGCCAACTAGGGTGTCCCACGGCCCCATCACATCTCGTCCGTAGTCAAGGGAAGTTGCCATGGCTTGGTCCTGTTCAATCGCTTCCCTCTCTGGGGACGGTTCGGACAGTCCCCCTGCCAATGCCCTTCCTGTTCGCAGTATGCACACCGATTAACCCCCAACTTTGTTGTTGGCTTTCGGGTCCCTCAGTAGAAGCTGGGATCACTCACCCACGCATCTTCTTCCTCTCCCTCAGGTTGTTACTGAGCCAGAAGTGGATTCGCCTCCTGGCAGAGTTAAAATCAGACTCCCCACCAAATGTAGTTGTCACACAAAGTAGAACTTATTTGCAGCAAATAGGAGGCCATGTGGAATCATAGCCAAAGTCATGGTGTCCCTGAACACAGGACAGCAGGGCCTTTTATTTCAGATGGCGAATGAATATTCAAAAGGGAGCGGTGGGTATTCACTTGCACAGGCTCAGCTGGCAAAGCTGCTTCCACAGACACTGCAGGTTGTAGTAAGATAGGTCATGGTAATAAGGCCTAAGCTCCTCCTGGGGTGGAGATCTTAGCACTAAAAATGAGGCAAAGGTCATAGGCCTCGGCTCCTGTGGTGGGGCCTGGTCTGGTTCAGAGCGGTTGGTGACTGCATCTTTTAAACAGTTAAATGCTTCCAAACCCACCATTGAGTTCCTCGCTGCAATTATTCAGTGACAGGGTTACCTTGAACAGTCTGGAAGGCCACTGTGAGCAGATCTGCCTGTCTCTGCATCTTCTTATCCTTCTTTTCCTCAGCTTCGTTCCAGTTGAACACCCCAAAAGCAGTCTCTACTAGCTGTGCAGCATTAGTATCAGGACCTATAGCCAACTTGTGGAGTTTCCTACGGATGTCTGGAGCACTTACAGATGTGAAACAGGTATTAAGAAGCACTGTACCACCCTGGGCCTCAGGATATATCGCCCGAAGCAGTCCCATAACCTCTGGTTAAAAAGATGGAGGGGTTTTCCTCAGGGCCTTGTTGGACCTCAATTTCAGACACAGACCCTGAAAATGTCCTAGCTTTTCTTAATCCTCAAGGTCATTGGGATTCCACTCATGGTCAGTCCCTGGCACAGCCCTCCCACTAGGCCCACGAATTTCTGACCCGGGGACATATTTCTTCTGGCTCCAGCCCGGTGTCCAGTCCGCAGTGAAGTGACTGGGTGCTGAGCCTCTTCCACCACTGCTGACACTGCAACCACCACTCATGGCCCCTCAGCTGAGCCAGGCCAAGCACAGAGGCACCCACCTGCCCTCAGGCCACCATCCCCGCCACCACCATCACTTCTGCGGCTGAGGCTGCTGCTGCTGTGATGGGGCAGGGAGCACCGGGCCAGCCCAAGCCACATCCGTGCCACCTTCCCCTCTGCACCACCATCGCTACCGATAACCCTAAGGACTTGCCCATTTCAATCAAACCAACAAACTTATGCACACACCCTCAAGGCAAATACACCCACACAAAGACAAAATCCGTCTCCTGCAGGACAAAAACAGAAGGTAAAGTCCAACAATTCCCTGAATCTTTCCCAAACAAGGGTCCCTCCTCACTCACCACACAAAATGCAAATGGAGACACACTGAACTCTCAACCTCGCATGCCATGATGACTCACCCAGCAGAGCAAAACCAAAAGTACTCACATACAAGACAAATGCATCCACACAAGGACAAAAAGTAGACCAAGGTCCAAAGTCCATTGCATTTCCCCACTCCAAGTGAGCATTGCACTAAGGGTGGTTAATGCCAGTGGGAAGTGGGGGGAGCAGCAGGGGAAGTCCCCCCGGGGCAAAGACACCTGGGCAGCTGCTGGGATCCCTGACCACTCACACCCCCACCGGGGCTGTCCAGCCACAAGCACAAGACTCCTGGCTGGTTCACCAAAATTGATACCAAACCTCTCAATCTCAAGTCCGTGTGCCCGATGCGCAGCAAGCCAAACACTGAGACCTTGGTGCTTGAAGACGGAGAAAGGGTTCTTCAAATTGGCCAAAACGATAAGGCAGGAGCCTGGGTTTGCTCGAATCTGCCTTCCCAAGAACAAAAAGCAGGGGGGTTTATAGAGCTAAGGGGCTTGGCAGGAGGAGCTTCAGGGAAACAAAGGGGTCGCTCCGATAAGCCCCTGGGCAATCTGACTTCTGGGCTTCAACTTCTGCGCAGGGCTGGCCACAGTGATTGCAACCTCCCTGAAGGCATTCTCTTTCTTCTGCAAAAGAGAATCACAAATCCTCGAGACCCCTGAGTCACCCCTCAGGTTAAACAGGAAAACAGCAAATTGTTTTAATATCCACAGCACCCCTCAGGTACCCAGCTTCACTATTAAAGGCTAATGACCTTCTGGGAGGGGAAGGCTGCAAGCTGAGGAGAGCCCCTTTCTCCTACTGAAACAAGGTCAGAAGCCTGGCAAAAGCGGAAGCACACTTCAGCTCTGAGCAGCTAAGAAGCCCGTGGGTCTTTGAGCCATTTTATGAAGCAGTTTTCAGTCAAACCCTGGAGCTTTCCACAGAAGGGGAAGGCTGCAGGTTGCTTTACAGCCAACTGTATTATGTTAGGCATTTGTTTCTCTGATGATGTTACTTAGTGCAAAATAAAAAAGGCTGGTAAAACATGCCATCTTGTGCTGGTTAAGCCCTGAGCCAGTTATGAGCGTAAATCTACAGAAATGTTTGTTAGGCCTTTTGGTTGCCCACAGGCTGAGTCAAGCTTCTGTGTCCACTCTCTGATAAGCCTCTCTTACTCTTTTTAACTGTGCTCACATGACAATGGACCATGCATGGCAGGCAGCAGAGTGGTTGCAAGCTTGCTAAGGAAGGAAGCAGTTGTAGAGTGACACAGCTCTCCCACTCCCTTCCATAGTGTGCCCCCAAAGCTGCAGTGCAGGGTTGGACCCGCTGATATACCAGAACGTTAGAAATCTCATCACTCCGGACGGGCAGGGCTCCTTGTGCTGGGATGCAGTTAATAAATGGAAGAGTTGGGATCCAAACAGGAGTCTGACTCCTTAGTCCCTCTAGTCAACTATGACATTATATTTCTAGTCCTTTTATCCAGAAACACACGATCTTGTTTCATTCATTTGAATCTTCTGTTGTATACCTCAATGAAGTTTTATTACTTTTTCATATGGATCTATGATATTGTGATTTATAATAAGATACATATTTGGTCTTCATCCACTGTTCCTGGCACAGAGCTCCTAAACCCTTGGAATTTCTTTAAGTGATGAGAACTGTTAAGGTGTCTTTTGTTAGGTTAATGAATGACTTTTGGAATGCACCTGAGGTTGGGGGCGCATGGCCAGGAGAACCAATCATTTGATTAGGGGATTAGAACTTTAAGCCCCATCCCCCAACCCCCTTCCTCCCCCCACCAGCTCCGGGGAGGGGAGAGGGGCTAGAGGTTGAATCAATGGTGAACGGCCAATGATTCAATCAATCATGGCTATGTAACGAAGCCTCCATCACAACCCAAAAGGACAGGATTCAGAGAGTTTCTAGGTTGGTGAAGACTTGAAGGTACTGGGAGAGCAGTGTGCTCAGAGAGCATGGCAGCTCCGTGCCCTTTCCCCATACGTTGCCCTGTGTGTCTCTTCCATCTGTCTATTCCTGAGATAGATCCTTTTATAATAAACCAGTAATCTAGTAAGTAAAAAGTTCCTCCTAGTTCTGTGAGCAACTCTGGCAAATTAATTGAACCCGAGGCTGGGGTTGTTGTAACCTCTGATCTACAGCTGGTCTGTTAGAAGCCTGGGCAGTCAATTGGCATCTGAAGTTGGGGGTGGGGTGGGGGCGGGGGTGCTGTCTTGTGGGGCTGAGCCCTTAACCTGTGCCATCTGATGTTATCTCCAGATAGACAGTGTCAGAATTGAGTCGAATTATAGGATACCCAACTGATGTCCAGACACCAACTGCATGTTGGTGTGGGGAAAAACCACTTCCACAAGTTGGGAACTGGGTCCAGAACACATTTTTAGGATCCTACCTATTTTAATATGTATTTTTGGTCTTTTGTACCATTTAGGGTTTTACTTATAAGATAGATTTTATGTTACCCTAAACAACTAATTTCTTCTGACTTTGCCTGACTATCAAGATTGGCCTTTATCACAGTAGACAAGTTTAACAGTTAAGTCCTAGAAAAGGTTTCAGAGAAATCACCAGAAGATAGCATGAAATGTCTTTGTTGAAAGCTCAGACAGTCCCTTCCAGTAGAAGGTTCAGGGTTCGGGCAGGTAAGTTTTCTATCATACCCTTGCTAATCGCTTTCAGATGTTATGACATTCAAAGACAGTGGTGGTAGCTGCTACATCAGTGGCTCCTAAACGTTGTTTCCCATTAGAATTACCTGGGCAGCTAATCAAAGTCCGCGTGCCCTGCCCAGGTTGCGCCCTTAACCAATTAAATCGGCCTGTCTAGGGGTGGGGAGGCGAGGGGTCAGCAGATTTTAAAGATTCCCAGGACATTCCAATGTGCAGCAAAGTATGGGAACCCACGTGCTAAATGGTACATCCCTTAATACAACAAATGATAGGCTCCTGGTTTACCTGTTTAATAAATCTAGACTGACCAACATTGAGTTTTTTTGCTTAAAGTCAGGCGCACATATAAATTATTTGATACTACTAATAATTATTCTTTCTCTCTAAGAAAATGGAGAATTTTGGGCCTCACTCCACAACTACTAGATCGGAATCTGCAATTGAATAAGATCCCTAGTTGATTCTCTTGCACATTAAGGTTTGATCAGACTGTAACTCCTGGAAGGCCTGGGCTGGACCAGAACTATCCTTGTTTTCCCAATGGACATACAAGTGCCTTGAAGATGAGGGAGCTTAAGAACTGTTTGGTTGAACCAAGTTGGGAGAGAGAGTACTGCTGGTTCCATGTCAAAGGATGGGATGTTCAGGGCATTGTTCACTGAAGGAGCATAACCATTCCTTCAATTGCTCTAGAGCAGCGAATCCATGCTTAGATCGCAGTCCCCTCAGAATCTAATGAAAGCTAAGGCCTATTTTTCTATCCTTAAAGTTTCTGCATACCATAGGAGGTGGTTCATAGATACCCGGAAGCCCACAAATGAACTCCCCATGTCCGCAGCTGTTGAAACTCGAGTCTAACGTAGTCCCTGAAGTCTCGAGGTGTATATGCAACTTCCCTTCATTTCAGAATGGACAGAGGGTGGAGCAGGGCTTTTAAAAAGCACCGCTGACAGTTTAATTAAAAGGCTGAAAATAGTCTTGCAAAGACATGGCGAAGATGTTTATTTAGGCCTTCGCACACAAGTCTGAGGCAAGTGTTGGGATTAGCACTCTGGTTTTTCTACCTCTTTCTTTGCACTGTGAATTTCTTTAGCAACTATTTCTTTAAACTTTAAATAGATCTATGATCTAGAATGACCGTGAACTTTAATAGAACAAGAGAATCATGCATATTACTACAAATACCCAGACACCGTCGAAAATAGGTCAGGCAGTGATAGAGAAAAGAAATGGATAAGTTTGCTTACAGGGCTCCACACCCAGGCAATTAGTTCAGTTATTAAGACATAAAGCAGAGAAGGGAAAAGCATGCTGTCAAATGCACTGGGAATATGTACCTCTGGGAGTGGGATCGGGAAAGACTTGTAAATTAGGTTTGGCCCACAAAGCCAAATTAATTGAGTTTGGCAGTAAAAAAAGAGTTCTCTACAATTTTCTACAGTTTTTCTGCCTTTACTGATTTAAGTGATAATCTATTTAATACTTAGTATTTGGGGAATAATGATCTTATTATTTACATTCTGTTTTGTTCCATACAAGATATAAAATGGATTATATACGTGTCACAGAAGAAAATAAAATTTTGAATAAAAGAATAACGAAAATAAGCCAAATGAAAA